AACTTGTAAAACATTCAACTAACATTCTTTCTATAGCAACATTGGCAATAAACCAATTGTACATAGCAATAAGGGATACAGTAACAAATTTTGACATAATAAAACAATAGAAATCAGCAAATAAAGATGGTTGTGGTAATTTCTTAACATATGGAATTAGTGACGTAAATACAATTTGTAATAAACCAATAAATATTGATACAATTGACAGCATTATCAAGTAGATTCCTAAGTTTGTTATACGTATTTTTTTGCATAAATATGTCTGTAAACATAGTATTCCATTTAATATAAGAAATCCACCAAATAAACCACCAAGAATAGCTTGAGTTGTCGCTCCACCTATGGTTACTTCATCGAGAGGTATAAAAATAGTCCATAAATTCCTAGATACTATTTCTTCTTCACATTTTTCACCAGTAAAACAAGGTAAACACAGACATGTAGGTTTAATTTTTTCATTAAAAATACAATAACCATGATTTTCTACACAAGTGTTGTTCTCTGAATAACATAACGTTAAATTGTAAACATTTAAACAGTGAGAAATATCTTTTACACACTCATTGACATTCATTTTCTTACTTGATAGTTCGGATACTTTTTTCTTTTTATAATAATATTACTACCTTTATCTGATTTATTTTTTCTTCAGAATAGTAGGAGGGACATGATATAAAGTAATATATATATATATACTCCGATACCAAAAAAAAATATACATATTTCTTTTTCTTTTCCTTTTTATGACTCATGTCAAAGTCGATATCATGATTCATGATTTCATTTTTTTTCTTATAAGTGAGAACGTGCGTTGATAGAGCTGTGTCTTTTCTTCATATGAATAAAACCAAAATTAACTAAAAAATTTTGCATCAAATAAATGGGATTTTTAATATATGCAAGAAAAGAAGAAATGAGATCGTTTCTTCATGTCTATTATGTCCGCCTACATTATAGTTGCATTTGCGACTGTAAAAAGACTTTGTTCTCTCATTGAAATGTAATGAATGTGAAAATTGAATAATTGTTCATACTCTTCGACCAAATCTTCAGAATGATCACCTCACTTGGATGTCGAGCCGGCGATTACAGAGGTAGCATATAAGACGGAATTCTCTGAAGTGTTGGTATAGAACGACCTTACACTCTCAAGCCGTTTCATGATTTTTTGCAATGAGAAAACCAGTGGTCTATTTAAACAAATCAATATTTTTTGACAATGATAACCAAGAAGAAATAGAGAAGTAGTAGAAATAAAAAAATGATGTTATTATCTATATATTTCAAACAAATGTTTTAATGTAGAAGGAGTATAATACTGTTGCTCTCACATGTATACATCTATAGCTCCGATAGTATGTTCACAACCTGTTGTATGTAATTATGTAAATATGTAATTGTTTAGTACGAAGTGAATAAAACGTTCTATTCTAATTACGTTTCAAACTTAAAATTTACTTTTTTTTTCTAACCTTTGTATATTGACTGCAGTAGCAGTACGTTTGAAATAAAATGTTATCTTTTACTATCTGTCAGTAAACTGAAAGTGCGTATTTCTATATCAACAGAATCGAATTACAAAACAAAAAACCATAAAATTATAATGAGCATAATGTATCTAGCTTATGCTTGTGTCAGGTAAAAAAAATAATTGAAAAAATCGATAAATTTGTTATTAATTTGTCATTTGGCTAATGAAAAAATAGGTAAGTAATGATATTTTTCTTTTACATCGACACATGTGCACGAATAGTGAATACAAAAACAAACATTTTCACTATTGCCAAAACGTCTTTTATTGTCGATTTTCATTTGCATATATAAATGATTTTGCTTCCCCAAGGATCAGAATTATTTGGGAACAACAGAATCCAATCGGGTGTGATTACCTTAGGGTTATTAATTGATCATTCTTTATTTTTTTAGAAATAATACTAATATCTAATTTTAATCTAACAAGTCAGTATGACTTCTCTATACTATCTACTCTTTCTCTTATTTGTGTTCCTGGCAAATATCTTGGTAAAGCCAAGCCAATGTATTCAGTCAATTCTCAAATACGATACTCTCTCTTCGCTCTCAGACAAACTACCATTGATGATTGACAAAAGCCAGAACACGCGTGAGTAAATAGTGCATAACACATGCTGAGGCTAGAATAACCTTGTATATGTTTGTATTTTGTAGTCAATCGATTTCAGTGTCTTGAAAAATGGCAACGATTTGGTGGTTCATGTTATTATCCATCTAATATAACATCAACTGCTACTGAAGCCAATAATACATGCAATATGGCTTATTCGAATAATTCTCAATTGATGCAGATTCGACATTCAATAGAACTGTACTATGCGGCTCATTTTCTTATCACCAATAATTTGTCTGAATTACTAATCGATATCAGTTCGCATGTACTCAACGGTAAGAAAGGTTAGATGTTTTGTACATATGACAAATCTATTTTTTTTAGAAAAAAAATTCCTAGAAGGGTTCTCTACAAGTGATCAGAGGAAATGGCAAATGGCAGAGAATAAATTTCGAAAAATTCGTCTCAAATATTATAAAAAACAAATCAAAAAGGTGAATCAACCGCGACACGAAACAACCTTGTATGATGACGTTGAAATCAATCATATCGACGATGTGAATGATGATTCCGAACAGCTTGATAATATTTTCAAAGTCTGTGACCAGTTCGTATGGAACGTACTCGAAGAAGATCCGCAATTTTTTCTTTTAACCAGATACTTAGTGTCGAATAAATTCATTTGTTCTATCAGTGATATTGATCTCAGTATACATTATAAATATATGTGTCAATATGGTTAGTAATTTGCCGATATAGAAATATGTTTTCATTCATTTTCTCTTTAAATACAGTGCTCGACTTTTGTTTCAACAATAATATATGTGGCAAACATGGACGTTGTATTAATGGTCTAGTTGGTGTCAAATGTTCATGCTATTTCTGGTCAGATGGTTTATTATGTCGAGAAAGTAATTTATTTTTTTTTGTTTACTATATAATAAATTTCATTTTTTCGTAGTTTCCATGAAATTTATACAGATTGCAATTGGTTTATTCATAATGCTGCTTCTTATTGTTTTAACAAAACAACCAATTCAGCAATATCAACAACGTATAATGAAAAAACTCTTCGAGTAAACCTTTACATTATTTGTATCTCAGTTCTAATCATATCTCATTTGAATAGCCCATGTAAGGCTTCTTCAACTGTGTCGGATTCTATACGAGATGTAACAAGTAAATTTATGACAGATGAACGTTCTGAAGATACATCGGCATTAGAAAGGTAAGCCAAGATTATACCAATGAAATATCTATCTGTTAATTTACAATTTTATTATTTAGTGAAAAGCAAGAGCGTAATCACATTCGTTTTGTATTTGTATGTGCGTTGATGCTATTGATTCTCTGTTGTCTGCATATCATTCCAATCATACATCATTTGACTTCATTTCCACTTCATATAATCGATCAATCCAAAGCTGATTTGGTCATCAAAAAGATCATTCAAGGAATAAAAAAATGCAGACAGAAATCTGTTTTGGAAATAGATAATCATATTTTCTTCATCATTTCATCTATACTCTGTCTTGTCTTTTCTTTATTGATTAAACTCAAAAGGCAATGTTCAGATGTTCGTACAGGTCAACCCGGTAAAAATTAGTATTTATTCAACTATTGAATGATTTATGTGAACACTATTTTTAGGCGATTATTTATCACCTATTGAACCTTTCGAAACAACGAATCGATATGAAACAGCTGCTCTTTGCGGCGTAATTATGGTTGAAATGCTTATGACTCTCGAACGCTTCTTTATTGATTTGAGTGAACTATGGAATTACGGTGTCCTCCGACTTCTTTTCGAACGTTCTCTACTACCTTTTCTCTACAGGTTCGTTTACTTTTTCTTCATTGATCATTGATATTAATTTATTGTATATTTAGTATTCGGTACTATCCAATATTTGCTTCGTTACAACAAAAAAATATTTGTGTTCGCTTCTTTGCTTTTCTATATATGATGGGTATTATTGGATATACTATCATCCGTAGAAGTTCATGCATGGATTATTTACCTCTTTCAAAAAGATTTTCAATATATGATGAAGTAAAACATCGCATGGTAAGTTCAATATTTTTTGATCAAATTAATCATGCAAAAAGATAATTTTAGGAACTTGGCACTTGGATTACTATTTATGGTGTACTGAAAAATATGCCACAATTCTATTTACTTTCATATATAAGTGCAGAACTTACTGTTCGTTTTATTTATGATTCAATCTATTTGAATTATATGAAAAAACCAAGTGTTAAAGAACCGCCAATGACTCCAGGTATTGAATTTAATATCCATAAGTCGACAGGTGTGCCTCCTAACTTTCCGAATCATGACAGTGGGTCGTCAACATACTGGTCACATATTCGAAAGGTTGTTAGTAAAATGTATCAATGGAATCCAGATTTTCAATTTACAACTATTGCCACGTTTGCATACACATTAGCTTTTGTCTTAATTTTCTATTTAACATGTGTCTTTACATTTCAATCTATCATGGGAACTAGTTCAATGCATTTTTTAATATTCTGTTTGAAACAAATCGTTGATATTGGTGAGTTTAATTGGTTTTGTTCGATCGATAGAAAAAAAAAGTTTCACTTTTAGAAATAGAAGATTGGTCTTTTCACTATGAAATCATCATTAGTGGTATTCTCACATTGATCATGTTTGCTATTCAATTACTCTATGGAATAATTAAGTATAAAGAACATACAGAACAATTGAAGAATAAAAATTACGAAGAAATACCATCGATCAAGAAACTAGAAATAAATTTAATAGCTTCAATGTCTATTCGATACTTATCTTCTATTTTTGTGAATATAGTTAGTGGTTTTTTCATTTGGTTTCACATAATTCTATTCATCATTACATTATGTAGTCTTATATTATATCATTTATTTACATTTCAAATAGATCATCTTGATCCGTTATTTTCTATACTTTCATTTATTTTACCTTTGCTGGTTTTATATGGATTGAATAGATATATTAAACAATGGCTCGGTACATTTGCCTCTTCTCAACAATCACCAAATGACGATTATAAATTGAATCAGAAAATTTATGCAGTTCTAGTGTACTTTACCTTTATTTCCAGTAAGCTAATTTTTTCAATAACACAGATTTGAATTAATGGAAAATCGTTTATATTTTGTTAGGTTTTCATATTGCTATCATTTCTTCTGCGGTCCGTTTAATTAAAGGACTTGCATTTAATATTCTGCTCATGCCTCGAATTGACTGTAGTTATCTTGGGCGAACATGTGAAAAATATGGTAAGAATCTTTTTCAACACGTCAGAATTATTATATCTCACATTTTCTCCTACTGTCACTCTAATTTAGATGCGGAATTTATGGCATATATTTCTTATTTACATATGGAGACAACTTATAGACCACAAAGTAAATCTTCAGCTCAAGAAGAAAATATATTAGTGTCGTACAACGATCCTAATCGATCTGAAACAGAGAAATCGAAACAGACGTTCAGACTTGAATATTTATCCCGAGAGGATTCTGATGAGGAGGAAAGCTCCGATCAATTAGCTTCAGAAGCGCAGCACGACATGCAAAGTGATACGTCGTCGATTTCCTTGAAATATTTGAGGAATGAATATCTGGATACGTTAGAAGATTCAACACTTCATATGTCTAATCATGTACAGCAAGTACTGTCTGATACTCAACAACTTTCAACAAAATCAGCAACAAAAAAATAGATAAATGGAGAAAATTGCAGGCCCAAGTCAACTAATGTTTGAACTGTTTAAACAGTGATTTTATTTTTCAATATTTCGCATATGAGTGAAGAGCGTGCCAATTGTACCGTTTAGGTGAAAAAATCTCAAAAAATAAATTTCAAGATCGAGTAAAAGTAACTATTCTGTTGAATAGAGCAGTGTCGACTATGTATAAAAATCATATTTTCCCTACACTTCTATGTTATACGGCCGAGATTCACTATTTTACAGTCATTTTCTATGTATTACATGCATGTTCCCTATAAACTGAGTAGCAATTGCACCCCCAGAAACATTTTTCTAGTAAAATTATTTTGTATGCCAGACTATATCCCTGGGCGCCCCATTTCATATTCAATAGAATTTTATAAAACAAAATCTGTTTATATGAAATTTTTATGATTTTCATATCGCCCTACATCTATTATCACGAAAATCTCGCCCTACGTGTTCTCAGTAAAATTAGATTTTCTGCTGAATAAAAAAAGATTTTCGATTGATTTTTTTTTAATTTAATTGTGCATTTAAAGCTGAAAAAAAGGTGAAATTTTCATAACAAACGGTTTAATTTTGAACGATTTAGAAAGCTAACGAAAATCCAAAATCTCGCCCTACGTTTAGTGTGAAAGTCGTTGTTTTACACTGTTCCTTTGAATTTTTTCATTATTATAGTTTTTGATGTAATTGTTTTTTTTTCTCAAAAAGTTTTCCCCCCGACCCTCTTTCAAATGCAATCAAGTTTGTACCAATTGAATCGTCTAAAATAGAGAATCAATGATTTTAATCTCGCCCTACGAAAAAACTCAAAGTGTCTTAACATACATTGTGGACACCTTTTTGTTCCTAATACTTTATCTAAACCGAAAACCAATAATATATTCTGAAAGTGCTTGTTGAGCTCTACAATGCCAGCTAATAAAATAGTTCTAAAACAAAATATAATGGGCCAAAAAAAATAGATCCTCTTCTGAGAGTTACGATAAAAACTACATATTTTGTATTGTTGTTTCGCTCCTTAGTGAAAGGTAAGAGCTACAAACTTGGTTCCTTTTAGAAGTGAATGGGCATCTCTAGAGCTACAAAACAAAAAGAAATTCATCAAAATTGGTTGAGCAGAACCCGAGTTATAAGTATTTTTCTGTCCGAAATCAAACGGTACAAATGGCGCGCTCTTCACTCATATATATAAAACTGTAGTGTGAATGTCAATCTTCTTCAGTTTTCATATAATATTTTAAATAAATAAAATAATGTGAAAGATTATTTTGAATAATATTTATGATTCTTTTCTCATATTATCGCATTATAAGTTTGTGTTATTTAACTACTTCCAGCTCTATGAAATGCATGTACAATTTTCATTGTATAAATTAGGCAATATTTAAACTCGTTCGTCATAATCAATAGAGAGAAACAACCGATATCATATGAAAAACCACGCTGCTCAACTTTATTAATGAATAAAATGGTGATTTGTTTGAATGAAGAAGTTGTTCCTTTTTAAATTTCACTTAGTTTTCAATCGACCGCAACAACAACGATAAACTCACATTTTTCTAAATTTCGATTGATGTCGATATTGATTTCATTCCATTATAACATCTAATAGATTGAGGAGTCAACACAGTGCACGAAAATAAGCTTCACGCCTTTCATTTTTTTTCTCGTATACTAATAAAAACGACAAAGTATTTTAGAAATCAAAATAAAATATAAGCACGTTTCTTATTCAGCGAGAGATGTGGCATCCTCACATAGTTAGTAGTTGAAATAGTCTACGTACCACGATCATTCAAATCAAATTTTTTTTCGAAAGAATACTCAATAAAATTGTAAAATGGTACCACAAAAAGAAGGAAATACAATATCTTTAGTAAAAGAATGTATTTAAATTCCTAATATGTTTCGTACGCGTTCCAATGATATTAATTTTCTATAATATACTCATAATCAGCTATAGTGATTTTTTCTATCGAACTAAAAGATTTCAAATATATTAAAAATAATAAATAGATAAAGAAGAGTGATATAGCATGTTTATTTATAGTAATAGTAGGGAAAAAGTCTTTAGAAAGTATTTATTCGCCAATATTATCGTCATTATTTCGATTATTTATATTTCGATCAGAATTGTAATCATCGGTATTCGTTGGATTTCGTCGACTTGCTGGTAAGTCATTGTATTGATCTTTATTACTTTTATTCTTATCAATAAATTCATCTTCTTCGTTGTAATCAGGTTTTCGATGGTTCGGTTTTCTATGTCGATGATTTTTATCTTCATGATGATGGCGATGATGATGATGATGGTGATGTTTTCGATGATGTTCATGACCATGATGATGTTTACCATGTTTCTTTTTCTTCCAATGTTTATGTTTTTGCATATGTTTATCCTTCTTCCAATGTTTTCTCTTACGATCTTTTGATGGTAATAATTCGCCTGAATCATCAAAATCTTCATAATTATTTCGATTATATGGCTTCGTTTTATCTGGTCTGTTGTTACGATTATTTTTTCTATCAGGCATATGATCTCGTCTATTTGCTCGATCTTCATAATCATCATCATTATTTCGATCAAACGATTTCTTTTTATCTGGTATATTGTTGTGATTATTTTTACGGTCTGATTTATCTCCGGTACCATCGTTTTCTGTTCCATCTATTTCCGAATTGCCATCATCTTCAATTGTATTCAAAGTACCCTGATGTTGTTTTTTTGTATTTTCATGTTGAGCATCAATTACTAGAAAAACAAAATCTATAAGTTATATGATCTATTAACTAGTGTTGTTAAAAGAGAAGCGAGGTAAAAGTAACTATGATTGCATTTTCTTTTTTTTTGTATTAAATTCGTATAATCAATTTAGTTTATTTTAACAAAGATATCCATAAAATTATAGACTTTTTACCTGTTGATATGATTGATATCCATACAAATAATACAAGTAAAAACAATGCTGGCGAAGAGAGAAATTTCATTGCAACCAAATTTGTTTTTTTTACATATGTCTTTAGAAACTATGTTTGTTAATAGTATATTAATACAAAGAGCATTACATGATGAATCGCATTTTTTTTCTTCTCTTCTCTTACTTTATAATTGAAAAACAACAATAAATGAAACGCAAGAAGATAAGCAAAGGTTGTTGAATATGTCATTTCATGTGTTCTTCTATTATATGAATATTTTAATTATTACCGTTATATTTTTATATTATTTAAAATGAGTTTGTTTTTCGAACAGAAACATCGCGAATCCAAATAGCGTGTGGGTGTGAATGTGAGTGAGTGCAGATTTGGGTGACATAAATAAGAAACACTCACATCCACCCATCAGCGAGTCAGAAGGATATGCTATTTCAAGTACAAGAGAGGCAATATCTGACTTTTCGCTCACGATATTCACAATCAAAAGTTAGAATTCTTCTAGAAGATGGTCAGATGGACACTTTAAAAAATTATTTAGTAGAAATATACAAGAAATCAAATTCACATTTATTTTGGCTCTATAGAGTCTTTATCAGGTATAGATCGTAGATATGGTCGTCGAAATTCACGTTCAAATAAATAACCGAGATCCTCGTCTTCCAAGAGACGAACAGAATGATCGAGATAATGCACATATTGAAGAAAGCGTGAGTTCGTTTGAGGCGGTCGAAGGGTAAACAATCGTTTCAGACATCGGAAGCACGGAGATCCTTTACAGAAGAAGAATGCTTTATAAATCCAAACATAATCAGAACACCATGGGCAACGATAAAACATAATCCCAGTGCGTTGTAAGGAACTCTGTTTCACGTTTGGTATCTGAACCGTTGATGTACGGTGAATGGTACTCTTGTGCGAATAAAATATATACAAGGCTTCGTAATATGTACAAAGTAAGGGGTTTTGAATTGGACACGCAATCAACTGAATATTTGCCACAGCTTCGAAATGAAATTTCGCTTTCTCAATCTCTCCCATTTCACAATAAACAACAGCAATGCTAGTATGAAACACTCCCATCTCCGGATGAGTATCCGTAAGAACTTTTTGCGCTACAATAAGACCGCGTGTATAATAATCAAGGGCGCGATCCAATTGTTTCTTGTCGTGATACATTCGACCGAGATCCGTGTAAATTTCCGCTATCAAACGATGCTCCTTCCCTAGGCATTCTTTATAGTAGAAAAGGGCCTTTTCATAATCCCTCGAGGCATTCTTGTAATTACGCAAGGCTCGGTAAGTATTCGCAGAAGAATGATAAATACTGCCGGCTAAAAAAACATCGACGACGAGATTTTTCTGAAGATAATATAAGGCTTGTTCAAAACGTTTGAGAGCATGATCAAAATGGGAGAGCTGAGCTGACGGTTCATCAGAAGATGCAGGAGGGGTTTCCCTTGACGAAGAGAAAAACTTGGATTTTGCCCATCGTAGCCGACGAAGAATTTTTCTACTTTGTTCGTTTTTGCAACGCTCGTCATCGTTTACTTGTTGACAATTAGGTGGTTGCTCCCACCAAGAATTGGCACTTTCTGCTAGTCCTGCAACCAAAGCAGCTTTACCTAACATATGGTAACATCGTGCAAGTTCAACGTCATCAGGTGGAAACAATTTATATTCACTTAGCATGTGACGATAAAGTCTATCTGTTTCGTATGGCATTCCCATCCCTAAGAGTAACATCCCCACGCTGTGAAATGTCTCATCATCTGTTCCGCTGATGGAATGTCCATCTTTGAACCATGAGAAGAGTTGATTTAATTCCATATCTTCTTGATTACATGCTGTCATTGATACAATCCATCTTCTATTCATGTCTTGCGCGACGTTTGTAATACGAAAGACTGTACCCAACATGAATAAAATCTCATTTTCTGCTTCTTCAAAAACACTAGTCTTAGTAATATCCGCGAACGGTCGTAATCTTGTATTGTTCTCATCTGGATTCGCATTGATGATAAAGATAACGAAGGCAACTTCTTTTGCGTCGCTCTGAGCTCCGGCATCAGCAAAGATTTCGGCGATTCTCCGATCGCGACTCGTCGATAAGAATGACTTCATCGAAACACGTTGACCTATTGATTTGCCAAGCAATTCGGCTTCGACGTGTGACATTCGCTGTCCTCGATAAACAAGAACAGGATCATTGCATTGTCGTTTAATCAGTTGTTCATTCAATTCGCGAATAACATATCGACTGTGAAATAGCATTCCAACATCATCTGTTCGTAAACTTTCATTCAATATACGATAAACAAAAGAGTTCTTAGTATACCATTTTAAAACAGCATCTTCGTCGTCGATATCCTCTTGAAATTTGCGTAGCTCCTCAACTATCTTTTTCAACCAGGATTCCTTTTTTTCTAATTCATATTTACTCTCAAAAACTCGCATGCATTGAGCACAAAACTCTTCTCGATCCGATGATAATGCTCTCATTCGAAGAAGAATATGAACAAGCAGTTGAGTGAAGATAAAGCCACCGTTAATAGTTGTTGATGATACATTCGGACTACTGTCATATACTAGGCTGAACGAGAGCGAGTCACTTTCATTTCGTTGCCAGCGTTGTTGGAATGCCTCGATACGCGTTACTAAATCATCTTGTTTGACGACAATAACCTAAATGGATAGCTTATTTATTAAGTTTGATTGCTTTGAGGGTGTGAGTGTTTGCTGACTATAGTGCGCATCTGTAGAGGATCTTGAACAGGCGCTTGAGAACACACATCCGTCTTGACTTGATCGGATATACTAATACTTTGGAAACTGATCAAGAAGTATACGGAAGTCAAATTTAAAAGGAAAGTTCCGACGAAATTTGTAAGGAAATAGCACAGTTTACTGGAATGAGAGGTTAGAAGAAACAGATTCTATCTTCTTCCTGAGAATACAACGTTAGCTGATGTTTTTTTAGACCTCATTTTCACTCACAGTGAGATGAGAGCTACTTGGCCAATTGATTAACGTATCTTACAACTTTCGAACAGTGACAAAACTTCATCTGATGATGCAAATGTGGGTGTAGAAATGAAGTATCATACTCAGTATTCACACTCAAACCTACACCCACAATCTCATTCTAAAGAAAAATCAAACTGCAGACCTTTTATGGTTCACCTGTAGGACAAGTTCACATAAAAAAGCGATAGATTTGTTCTATCGAAGATTGCTAAATACTGCTGTCCAACGGACTGGTTATCGGTAACAGTTTTATCGTCGAAGCCTTGTTTTATTTTGCTTAAGCAAGAAACAGTTTGCGATTTATTTATAAAATATCGATCAGCTATGCAATGAGCATCTTTTTAGAATCATATAAGTTTTATACTAACCTTTTTAAATTTTGCTAATTGATTTACTCGTTCACTGGAGATGTCTTCAAAGTTGTTTAGATGGACAAAAATACAGACGACATGGCATAAATGATGAACATCATGAAGAGTTTCTTCAGCGAAATCGACATGTATAATGAGAATGTTTTTTTCTTTACTAACTATAGAGCTTCGAAGTGTCGCTGGACAGTCAACCACATTACCGAAAGTCAGAGGAAGTTCGATCTGATTCTTCAATTGTTTCTGTAATTCTATTTCGCTGTCCGTCGATGAATTTTCAGTAAGTGAATCGTCGTTTAAAATCCAAATCAATCGAAGCATTGATGTCCACGCCTATCTTTAACCTTTCGTGTTGCTAGATGTCTTGTGGGCACGTCAGAATGCAAAAAAGAAGAGTGATTCTCTGTTTTACTTCAGACAGAACTCATTCGTTCCCTATGAGAGTCGTTGAGAGAAAAACGGAGAACATTCTTGCTTACAACAGCGAGATCAAAACACGCGTCCTTATGTTCGTTTCTTCTTTAGTTCTTTTTTTTATCGTTTTATTACACTCACAACATCACTTTTATCAATTCACATACAAGTTACGATATCTCGTATCATATCGAGTGTGTCTCATATATCACAACTAGTTGATATTTACTGACTATTCTGAAGAAAGAATTATCATGCTTGCGATAGTAATGTCAAATCAAGTCGCATACTGCATTTACTGCCGTGTGATTTACTGCCGTAAATGATATTCACAAGGTGCGCATTGTTAACATGAAAAAAAACTATAATTAATATATTCAGCCATCAACTTAAAAATGAAATTCTTTTCGTCACCCAATCCCCTCCCCCCATCTCCCATGCTCTTGTTACCTACATAAATAGTTTTCAGACAAGAATAATGTGAAGTATATATTAAAGTTTCTTCTTCTGATTATATAAAATTTATAAGAAAAAAATTTGAATATCATTATTTTTATATCATATTATACTCTTACAAGAATTCGGGTTTTATATTTGGCTATTGAATTATTCTCTAGAATCAACAGATAAAAAAAGAAATAAATCTATTTTAATACTCTCATATAAACACGTCTCTGCTTTTCTTTATTTTTTCTTTTGATCAAATGAAATATAATTATATAAAATATTAGAAAAAAATTTTGATCATTTTTTATTTTTATTTTAAATATAAAAATATACTCAAAATATTTTTATCAAGTAAAGAATGATATTTTCCTTTATTTTAAAAATCATATCAACTAATATGATTATACATGATAAATTTATATATTTTGTAACAAAAATGAATAAGTTTTCCTGGTTGGTGTTTTCTTCACATAATATATTCTTTATAGTAAACTTTTTATTGAATGAAATAAAACAAAGCCTTAAATGATTTTTGATTTGTGCATCGAATTTTTGAAGCATTGGCGATATTAAATTTGATTACGTCAGCGACAACGATATTCATGAGTCCAATAAAAAAAAGATGTTAATAAAATAAAACATATGTATATAATTGATTTTGAGAACGTCATAAATAAAAGGTATAAAATAGGTATCTGATATATCATGTTCATCTTATAAACTGATTAATATAAATAAGGATTTATAACGGTATTTATTCATCCTTTTTTTCACACAAAAATTAATTGTCTAGCTCTGGTTGTTTTTATATATCAATAATTGAAAGTTGAGTGTTGGAATATCTACAATCGAACACACCCACATCCTCTAGTTAAACTAAGAGAATTTAAATATAAAAACTATTTCGTGTTATTTATATTCAGGTGAAATAGGAAAACGGTTAGATAATAGGATAGGTGATAATGCTAATCCAACACCTAGTCAACTTGATGGAGGTGCTCCTGTGTTAGTTTCATATGTGAGTCATGGGTGGGCATAGGCGTGTGAGAGAAAGAAAGGATAGAAAAATTATGTATTGAAACTAGTCTGCATCAGTCTATGTAAGAATTCTATTTGCAATTTGTTTAATAAAATACCAAAATTTCTAAATATTAAATTATGTTTATTAATGAAACTATAAGAAGATATCTTTTTTTTTATTTAAAGCAACAAATAAGTCTTCAGATCAAGGTAAATTATATTTTGTTGATATAAAACAAAATAAATGTCTACTCATTCATCGTTTTGTTATTTTTATCTTTCATTTTTTTACTTTGTCTTGAGGATGTGCTTGTCGGTATAGGAAGAACCAACGTTAACAGGCATTTATTTTTATTTTTAAATGATTTCTTTAAAGAAGAGATTTTTTCTAAAGAAAATCATATCACATTGGCACCTTTAAGATTAATTATGTTAATAATTTCATTTACATGTTTTTGAAACGTATTTTCTCTTGCATGATGAATTATAGTTTGGAATTGTTGAACTTTTTCAATAACTGCCATCTTTAAATCGAATATTTGTTGAATATATGGATTGATCTCATCAGTCGTTATTAGATGTTGATGACCATTTGATTTTGTATTTCGAATAACTCGACCTGTACCAAATTCATGTTCTATTCGATGTCTATTGAGAAATTGATCACCAAACATTGGCAAAATTAGCATGGGTTTTTCAACAGACATACTCTCAAGAACACGATTCCATCCACCATGTGATATAAATAATTTTACTGCACGATGAGAAAGAATAAATCGTTGAGGTACCCAATCAAGAACGAGATGCATTTCATCATTCGATGTTGGTAAATATTTATGATAATCATTTTTCAATGACCATCTTGAGGGGTGGGTGGGTATGGGTATCACACCCACACCCGCACTCACCCTCTTTTTTATTGGACTTAAAGTAAATTTACACCAGATTTTTGCTATTGGCTTTCCATGATAAATCGTTTAAAAAACATTAAGATTCTATAGTTTATTCTTGTTGAGATATATGTGCAAATCTATGGTAATTATTCATACGATATTTTCTGGTTGGTTGTCATGCTGCCTACAAGTTATTACTCATGCTGTTGAAAATGATTGTATCTTAATCTTGTGGCAACGAACTTTTATTGACGTCACCTTAAAAATAATTGCTTGTTTTGTGTGCAACATTGAAAAGTATTCTTGTCATGATTTATTTTGTTTTTATAACAGCATAGAAAAGCATAAAGGTACTTTATTCGATATTTTTAACCTAAGCATGAATCATTCATTTCTAATAATGAAATACATGCAAGAAGACTTCAAGTTGAATCATATATGTTGTTTGAATAACCAAATAAATACGAAAAGTGCGAGGGCAAGTATCCATGCTGTATTGTATATAAAAGAATATGTTTCGTTTCATTATAATAATCTTTTACTTCTCAAGTTTATCATTCGTATATGATCACTAATCTAATGGAGCAAGATTTTATTTTATCAGATAGTATAAAATCTTTACTAAAGATTCCATTGTTTTATTTCTAGATTAATAATTTTTTACTAAAATATATATCATCGATCCATTTCGTATAAAAATGAGTCATATGCTTGTTCAATCATTCAGTAAGTAGTGATCAATCGTATATTTTATTTACTGGATTTTTTTTGATATAGAATTTCAAATGACTTCATCATCATCAAATGAGAAACAATTCAGTTGTGGTGGTGAACAATGTAAAAAATGTGGTGCATGTCGTGATTGGTATCAACTTAATAATAGTGATGATATTATCAAGCGTTGTAATGCTACTTGTACTTGTACTTATATGTTTCGTCATAATCTTGTTCGTCATCCTGTTCGCTGTGATAATGGATATTATCCTATTCATAGTTTAATATGTATGTGCAAAGAAAATGGTTGGAAATAACATTTCTTCTATTGAATATTTCTCTAGTCAATTCAAACATACCTCGAATTCTTATTAAATTTTATATCATATTACAATAAAAGTATTTTTTACATAATTAATTTAACTTTCTCTGTTATCTTTCAGATTTTTCGCAATAGATTCTGCTCATATTATTAGTTAAACTAGAAATATGATGGGTGTGGGTAATGAAAGTAACTGATCATGAAATCTGTTTATTTAGTTTGTATTTACCGTTCTTCCTAGAGAATGTCAATGTTACTATATGACTGCTAGTTTAATAAGAAATATGCATTCTAGCTGATATGAATTTTTATAGTTTAACAATCAATCAGATTTATTTAAAAAATTTATTAATTTAAAGCATTTACTTTTAAATCAGATTGAAAGTATTTGTTAGATAAAAATGTTTTTCGTGAATTTATAATTTCTATCAATTCCTCTATTTTTACAATTTACTTACTTGCCTTTTCTTCCACTCGATTTTTAATATAAATTAACCAGATCAGAATATATAGAAAAGAAAAAATAAAACAATAATACTAAAAATGCATTGGCTAACTACATCTATGTTATAGAGACGGAATGAACAAAAATACAAAGAGGCTGAAAAAAGATACTTTGGTATGGTATTATATATGAATAAAAATGATGTACTATAGATTTTGAAAATATGAAAGTTAAATTCATGTCTTTAAGAGGTATTCATATAATATTGAAAATGATTGTTTAGAAATTGAAAAAAATAAACCATCTTTCTGTGTTAGTTCTCTTTGCAATTAGTCATATCTGTCTCATCCATTCAGGTTATGAATCAACCATAGTTCTATACAATAAAGATGTCCAATTATCTTTTATTATAACTCAGTGTAGAAGAATATATGAAGAAAAAAAATTTCTTCCGTATTGTAGTAGAAGCATTTGAAGAAATATGTCAATGAACTTCGTATAACAAATGTTAATAATTCCACTGACGATTTAGTTGTATCTATCGATATACTCAAATATTTCAGATCATACTCCAAACAAGTAAAAAATTGTTTTATTATTTACATATTAAGTGTGGATAATTAGTTTCTTTATAGCTATAGAATTGTAAAAATAATGAACAATGTTTAAGACAAAATTTCAGAGACTATTATGGTATTATCGAAAATATAAAATGTATTAAAATATTTACATAAAGCTTCTTTTTTTTGCTTTTCCATATATGAATAATAAAACAAACAAAGGTTTACATCATCTGTTTGATTTTATCTGTATGACGCATGATATAATTTGCGTAAATGTATTCAATCCTTATTATACAGTAAATAGTTGCATCTATAGAAATGAAATGTATTATTTTAATATGGTTCAATGCATTTATGATGTGTATTACGATTAACATTATCGAGTTTAAAAGTATACATTATATCCACAGATGAGTGATTGATCAGCGATAAAATTTTGTTTTAGACTAGAATGTATATATCTTTCTCATGGTATATAAAAAATGAGACACATATAAAATGATTTTTTGAATGAGAATATTATTGTTTTATTTTTAGAAAAACAAATAACAAATGATCGTGTAAGATAATATAAGGTGATACTTATTCTTTTAATAATAATGATCATAGTTATTCTTTTTCTTATGCATCTTATTGGTCATTGTTTGCCATTAGTTGTAAATAGTATTATCAATGGATTAGCAGCTAAATATACATGTTCAAACGTATTTATAGGCGGTCGTACAGTAGAACAACAACGTACAGTAGACGTTGGTTCAGCGTCCTATTTGAACAATGTAACAATTATTGTTAATCGTACTGATTCATCAGTAATTGTATATACTAAAGGATCTACTATTCGTAAAGCCATATATCGTCCTGGACTTGGTGCAACATTGATTAGTGACTATACAGAACGACAAATTCGATCTCAAAGATTTAATTTACTATCACCACCTAATATCGATCAAGATTATATTCCATGGCCTATGGGTGATAAAATAGTTGACCATAGTTATTCATCAAATGTCAATCGAACAGCATTGGAAAATGCTATCGACAGTTTATTTATTGAAACAAATCCAAAACTACCAATACGTACACATGCTGTCGTTGTTGTCTACGATGGAAAAATAATTGGTGAAAAATATGCTTCAGGTTTTTCAAAAAAATCTAAACTTTTAGGTATGAGTATGACAAAAAGTATTACTGGTACTCTTATGGGCATCTTAGTGCAAGAGAAGGGATTAAATATTGATGAACCTGCTCCAGTACCTGAATGGAATAATATTAATGATTCACGTCATTTTATAACAATCAGAAATTTATTACAACAAACTAGTGGTTTAAATTGGAACGAACCATATTCTGAACACAGTGATGTATTACGAATGTTATTTATGACAGGAGATATGGGTCATTATACAGCATCACTTCCATTAAAAGATAAACCAGGTAGTCAATTTGTTTATTCAAGTGGAAATACGAATATATTATCGCGTATTATTCGTCATCAACTTGGTGACAAGAAATATCATTCATTTCCTTATGAACTCGTGATTGGGCACGTTATGGTCTACTATATTATAATCGTGGTGTATTCAATAATAAACGAATATTATCTGAAGACTGGATTGATCAATCGATTGCATCAAGTGATGGTTATGGAGGTGGTCGATATGGATTTCAATTTTATTTAAATAAACCAGCAAATAAAAATACGACAAACCGACGATTTCCTAATGTACCTACAGATACATATTATGCTGTTGGTGCCCAAGGACAAGATGTATTTATTATTCCATCGGAAAAATTAGTAGTAGCTCGTCTTGGTGCAACAACAGCAGCTGATTATGAGTGGGGAGCTGATGAATTTTTACAAGCTGTTATTAATTCAATCGAATAGAAACAATTGACTCAGCATATTTTTGTATCATATTTTATTATGTAGTAGATAGTATCAGAATATTATTCAATCAGATTTAGAGTGAATATAACAGTTGATGT